GGTGACTATTATTAGGCAAATGGGAGAACAGTTAAAACTATAGTTAAACAAAATACCACAAATCAGTTTTAGAAGTTATACAACCCGGCATGGTGGCTCAAGCCTGTAATCTAAGCACTTTGGGAGCCCAAGGCGGGTAGATAGCTTGAGCCCAGGAATTAAAGACCAGCCTTGGAAACAGGATGGAGCCCCGTCTCTACAAAAAAAATACAAAAATTAGCAAGGTGTGGTGGCGTGCACGTGTACTCCCAGCTACTGGGGAAACTGAGGTGGGAGGATCACCTGAGCCCAGAAAGTTTGAGGCTGCAGTGAGCCATGACTACACCACTACACTATGGTCTGGGTGACACTGTGAGACCATGTCTTTAAAAAAAAAAAAGTTATACAAATTACCGCAAAGGAAAACAGGAGATATTTCAAGGGTTTATAGTCAAAAACGTAGAAAGGACAATGAATATTCCCATTATGACCTTTATAACTCTGGATGAAAAGATTTTTGCATCTACTGCCTGTTACCACCACTATCTACACAACTTAAGTAATTCAATTGCACAGGAAAACAATAATTGTACAAATCCCATTTTAAGATGTATACCACTACACATTTCCCTTTACTATATAAAGTGGCAGTTTTAGTCACTGAGTAGAAGTGAGTTGTCTTCTCTGATAACTTTAAAGTATATCAATTACTAGATGTGACCCAACTGAGGAAGATGAAATTATTAGCTGAGAATCCTTAAGAGAAATTACTGGAATTTACAAAAGCCGGATCCAAGCTATTTGAGGCTATGGTTCTAAGACAGTTAGATTCAAACCTGGAAGAAGGCTGAAAATTATCCAGAAAGGGCAGAACATGTCACTTGGAATAAAAAGTAAGGCTGTACTTCCCTTACACCAGGGATCAAGTTCTGCCTGGCTGTTTAGTTGCCCCAAAAGTAGAAGACAATTCCACATGGAGTCAAGTACTATAAAGAATGAGTCCAGATCCTTCCTGTGATGACGCACCAGACCACTGGCCACCATGAGATGTTCTCACTGGTCTTTTCATTGTACTGATTTAAGTTACTGTGTTCATATATGCTAAGACATCTATTTCTCTTTTTCTTGTCAGAAAGGAGCAAATGTGATATGAGCTCATTAAACTTGAATATATTGAACAGGTGTTCCTTAACCTCTCAGTCCAATCCTAAAAGCTGCTAAGCAGTCTTTAAAAGCTCCAAGTGCTTCTAATGTTTCTGAGGAAGAAAATACACAAGTAACTTTAACTGACAAAGAGAATAACCATAATACGTAAACAGCTAATAGAACAGTTCATTCCAACATCATCATGTTCACATAGGATCACAAAGGATGAACACCTTATCTGTTTTATGTTCACATAGAGAATAAACTGGTATATAACTGATCAAACACAGAATCCTGGGCTCTTTAGAAAGTTACAAGAATGTAATAATAAAATACTCCTGTTCTACAGGTAAAAATTACAAAAGCTTTTTTATCATTAATTTTTATCAACACAGCATTGCACAGCCCCCGATGAGACCAACTTTGCTCCAGCACACACGACTGTATGAAAAACAGAAGGCAGGACTTATTACTTGGTAGTATAGTGTGATATTCTGTCTCCATTAAACACCTTATCTCATTTAATATTTGCAACACTAATAGGTAGATATTAAGGAAATAGACTCAGAGACATCAAATAATGTGACCAAGGTCACGCAAGTAGTCTTAAAGATCATTCCAAGTTATTAATTATACACTATGCATAATGAAACCTCAAATTCATGCTTAAGAAGAAAATACAGCCTAAAACATTCAAACTGAAAAGAAAATGTGTTCACTGCATTGACTTAAAAAAAAGAAAAGAAAATCCTACACACACTCTAACAAGTTTTAGTACTCTTGCCAAAAAAGAAAAAAAAGCAAATCGATTCCAACTAGTCTATACTTTCATTTATATTTAGAATATGAGCTGGGCATGAGTATGTAATGAATATATATGTTATCTCTCTGTGTGTATAACACCCACATTATTCAAAAGCTCCCAAAAATATAGAAAGTTTGTTCCAATCCTTCTCTATTTTGTCTAGTTTAAGAGTTCTTTGCAATATGCTTATGTAAATACTGATTTTAGCTGCTGTTCTCATTTCTCAAATCTTCTGCTTCTAAACGGATTGGAAAAGTGACAGACCTAAGCAGACATCTTTGGAACACAAAACCAAGGAGATATAAACAAATAAAACCAGATCAAAAACAAAGGCTTCTCCTTTAAACCCTTTAAAACATATCACTACAGATAAAAGAACTGAAAATGAAATATACTGTTTTTGGCTAAGGGTGTGTATGTGTATGCTCAGGTTAGTGTCTATTTTATTAACACATACAATGAACAGCATCTTACCTCAGTTAACAAAAGCTCTAGGAGTATGAAACAGAAACAAAGGAAGACTGTGAAGTCGGGGCACAGGAAAGTGTTCTAGAAAACAGTTCTAGATTGTTAAAGTGAAGGTGAGTGCCCTCAGCTTTCTTATACCAGAATTCATGTTATGGTTCAATTGCATTAATAGCTCATCAACTCTGAAGGTGATTTGCCTCCATCCATATTTCAAAGAGATGCTAAAGAGGATTAAGGATGGACTTGGAAATTACCATTTCACTTACCTGAAGCTAAGCCTTCGTTACAGATAGAAGTAAAAAGCTATTATGATAGCACAAACACAAAGCACAGTGTATATTATATGTTGGAAAAGAACTAATGTAAGTTGTGAACATATCATTTCCACTTAAAAGTATGAAACTCACCAGTGGGGAAGTTACTGTCTGAAATTATTACATCTGATACTATTGGAATGACAGTTGAAATAGAAGATACTTTTCATGAGGACTTGGCAACAATATCAATAGATTTTGCACTCTGATAACATAACAATCACACTATTGGAAACACATCCTAGTGGGGCATTTTTGTCATTGTTGAGAGCCGAATATATATCTGGTATGTATCTTCTCCATGTAAGCTAATAATAATACCACAGATTTTTATGTAAGCAAAGTAAGTCAGTCTCTGAGCAATTTTACCAAAATAAGAAAAACCATTTATGCTCATCTAACGCGCTTTAAAAGTCGTTTTATTAATAGACTTGTAATTAAAGACTCTTTAATCATAAGAATGTATTAGAGAATAAAAATAAGCATTCTTGGAATGAGAGAAAAAAATAAGTGACAAAAAGCATAATGAAAATCTCAGTGTTTCCAGAAATGACTTTCTTCTTTCAGGGTGATCATACTGACAATTAAAAAATATATACTAGAATGTTCAGTATGGAAGTGATCAAGGACTAAGGTAGTGGCTTTGGCCTTCTTTCTGCTGAAGAAATCAAAGGGAGAGACTTCAGCTTTTGGATGGATAATAGATATCGCAGTCTCCAGATTTTACTTCCAGCATCTCAACCCACATCCAGCCTGGTGTGAAGAGATGCCAGATGGGGCTACGTCTGTTATTTCGCCTGCTGATACTGAATGTATCCTGCTTGTTTCTGTTAGCATGAATATTCAGCCACAATGAGCAGGAGCAAGGGTAAGTGTGCTAACTGTATTAAGCAGGTCCAAATCATCTTTATCCTTTTTCTCCTATTAGAGATTAAGACCAAAAAAGTCAACATCTAGAAAATGTCACTTTTGCTAAGCTTAGAAAATACTCATTTATCAATGAAATGATGCTGTACACACATTTAATGTAAATGCATTGAGAGAAATATGTGGGCAGAAGAGCAGAGTAATTACCATAAGGGAGAAAGGTGAAAAGCAACTAAAGTGAATCAGTAATTATTTTCTACTTTACTTGATTTTCATGATTTCACTATTTTCTCAGAAAATGCTGAGGTATGACCATATCAGTGTTCATCACTCAGAACACCAATTAGGCTCCTTTAAGTATTTTTTTTTTCCTTTCTTTTTTTTTAAATTACATTTTAGGTTTTGGGGTACATGTGAAGAACATGCAAGATTGTTGCACAGGTACACACGTGGCTGTGTGATTTGCTGCCTTTCTCCCCTTCACCTATATCTGGCATTTCTCCCCATGCTATCTTTCCCCAACTCCCTACCCCCCGCTGTCCCTCCTCTATTCCCCCCAACAGACCCCAGTGTGTGATGCTCCCCTCCCTGTGTCCATGTGTTCTCATGGTTCCTTTAAGTATTACAACAGACTTCTACATTGACATGTTATCCTTTTGTACAAATAATGCTTATTTCTCATCCTTTTTTATTTGTATCTTGAAAAGGATCACCAAATCCAAAACGGGAAATTTCATTATAAATAAATATAGTTAAGTGACAATTGCTATCTGAGAATGAATTTTAGATTCAAGATTATCACAACATTGTGCTAATTCCTGAAGGGTCACCCCACCACCATCTATCCCAAAGGACAGAGAATACGTTTCAGAAGTAAACTTTGCATTTTAGCAAAAATAAGTATATTATTTTAATTATTTCAAAAAGAAAACCTAAAGGCAAGCTACACAGACTGTGTGGGAAAACATTCATTAAAAAAATACCATCTCCATTCTCCATCCTCCCCACCAAAAACAGGCAACTAATTGTACAGGAAGAGATGCTCTTCAAGAAGTCAGTACCTCAGTGTATAATCTGAATTCCACCACCACAGGACACGTCTTACTGAAAAAAAGCAATTACAGAGAAATGGTGGCACAAGCTAATCAGGGTTCCCTGTATCTCCTTACATAGCCAGGTAAGGAGCTAATGTGCTAGGTGCTAGGAACCAGATATACACCTCACACTTACTTATGATCCTTAGGGCCCAGTATGTTATGTCTTCTAAAAATAAAACAATTCCTAATAAAGAATGGAAATCAGCCTGCTCTTTAGGACTGAGAGATAAATTCTGAGATTTTTTCACATCCCAGTGAGCAATCATTATAGAAGTAAATCAATGCCAATGCAAGGCACGTATGTAGAAGTTGAGATAGACTTACGAAGTAGCCTGTTCCCAAGCTGGAAGGAGCTGAACTCTGCAATAAAGCATAAAGACAAAGTGGAAAATCAGCAGTGGTTTTTAACACGTTCCAATCCACACAGCTCATTACCAGCCCTTTGCAGGCTTTTCATCACTACATCACATCACCAGGGTATGCTGCCCCTTGTCATCTGCTACTGATACAAACACCGTGTTGCTTAATTTTCCCCTCTACATCTCTCAACAACTCAGAGATGCTAACGTGCTATTTACTGAATTCCAAGCTTCTGCGGTGGACGTAATTGCCAATTTATTTGACAGGCAGCTGGGTAATGAATTAATGATGGCATTTCGCCCTGCACTGAGACTAAACAGACACGCATCAGCTTGCCTCCCTGACTTGCTGACATTCAATGCCCTGGTCTCAAGCTACTCAGTTTTGTGGCCACAAAGGGGCAGGCAAGAGGAAAAAGCCCAGACTGACTTGAAAATAAAAAGCCCAGTGGGTTTGGATGACTTTTCCAGTGTATGACCTACTTGCCAGTTTATTCCCTAAAGGCACCAGTTAGTACACACACAGCGCTTTTCAAAAATGAGACATTTTGTAAACGTAATTAGTAGACTAAAATGCGAAGAATGTGTGGGCAAAGAGAAGCAGTGAAAAGCTCCATTTTTCTGAAGCGTTTAAGAATTACCAGTTTAGGCTGTCATAGTTCTGACACACGCGAACTTAAAAACATAAATTCTGAAAAGAATGCAGGGCGTCACTTATTTGAGGAAAGAAGCCAAAAAATTGTATTTTAAACTTGCCCGAGATTCTGATTTTTGTTTCTCTTTTTTCTCCTAAAATATCTCCTTTTAAATTCTTTAATTTTTAGGATCCCCTTCGTCTTTGTGATTAAGCTTGAAATGAAGATAAAGCAAATGGTGAATAGGTCTGCAGGTCTCAGCCGAGCATCCCTGCACGAGCCAAGCCTCTTCTCTGATGAGCTTGGGTTGGATGTTACACCTTCCCAGGAACAAAATGACCTTTGCCCTGATGCAACAGCTACTCTGTTCACTGGTGTCTCTTTTGCCTACATGTCCTGCCCCCTACTCTGGAAACTTCAGATAGCAGTAGTCATCTGGCTTATTCATCATTGCTTCTCAGAGCTTCCACAAGGACTTACATACAGGGTGCATTTAATAAGGACTTGTTGAATGGATGTATAAATAAATGAATGGATTACGTATAAGAAAAGTGGCTCAGGAGAATCTGACTTCTGTAAAAATATGGCAGATGTGATTCTTCCTGACGCTAAGCTCTTTGAGAAGGAAATATGTAGTGTAACGACATCTACATCAAACAAGAACAGTGTGCTTCAGGACATTCCGTAATGCAGTTCCCAGAGCAAAACTTGCTTCATCTCAGCATTGCACACAAGCTCAGGGGAATGAAGCACATAAATGTGTGATCTTGCTCACTGGACTCAGTTATTTAAAATCCTGCTGCATTCTTAATCCCATAAATGGTACACAGGGAGATCCACAGTAGTCATGGAGACAACTTCTCATACCAGTGGCTAGCCATATGACAGCAACACCTGTTTCTGGCACCCATAGCCCTCCATGCAGCAGCAGCAGAAGAAAGCAAAAGCCAAGTTAGGTCTCCACCAGCTTGGAGTCATGCCCCTGGGAAGTAAACTCATTTTAGGATGAATTACTCAGAGAGACCATGGGATTTGTTTATTTCATTTCTTTCCCTTCCCGCAAATGTACTTTATCCCAGAAAGAGAAATACTCCCACAAAACCCACTTCCCTACCCCCACATACATACCATCTTATTGTATACCAAAGAAAATTACATCCTTCAGGTCTCGGAAAGCTCTGTTATGCTCATTTTGCATATATATTGTACATTACTCAAGGAGCTGGGTGGAGAAGAGGGCTTTGTTGTGCATATTTGTTCTGGCTATTGTTTATGCAGGTCTGACTGAATGAGGGAACAGTGGGTATCATTTCAATTTCTGATGTCAACATCAAATTACTTATTTAATTTCATGCCTGGCGAAGCATTGTATAGCTACACGCAGAATCATTTCACTTCATTTGTTATGCTGTGTTTTCATGGCGATTGGCTTGCCTTCCAACTGACAGCTTTAATTACGACATGAATTTGATTGCACTGCCGAGGAATTAACATAATGCAACAAAGCATTTAAGCACCCTGCCTTATAACCCCCCTCCCCCAGACACAGGCACACACAAACACAGGCAAACGATGGGACACAGACAGACACAAGATCCCCATATACATTAAAGATCCACTGGAATTTGTTTCAGCATTTGCTAGAAAGCATACAGAGTCTCCTATCAGGAGCCATTCACATTTGCCAACCCACTGTACCCTTCTCTTTTTTTAAAAAAGGTAAAAGATGCATGGCATTCAGTTTTGATTTCTGGATCTGGCAGAAAACACATGTAGAAAAATCCTCTTCTGATCCACTTTGCCAACTGTCCATGGCACTGACATTTCCTCCCCTGTTACACCCTTTGCACCACATTTTTCTTGGCTACTTGCAACTCCCTTCAGTCATAGCTAGAGAATTTGAACAGAAGTGACATCTATTAAGTAAAGAGATTTCTGCTTGTCCAGTCCTACAACCCCAGAATTCTGACTACAGCCTTGTATTCAGTGAGACACTATGCCTGGTCACCAACAGGACCCCACCATCAAAGCATAGGTAACAGAAGGTACCAGTCACAGGGAAGGCAGAGTTTGGCTGAGGCTCTCATTCATCATATATCCCTGATGTCTTGCTATCCAAAAGGCCGACAAAAGAGTCTCTGTCATATATTTTTATGTAAATCCATATCTAAATATGGCTGCAAATATTTGGTAGCTTCAATAATTTTCCAAAACAGAAATTACATGAATACAGGCAACAACAGATCAAGCTAAAAACAAACCAAAAAAAAAAAGTGGGGAATGTTTAGAAATAGCATTAATATTGTTTGAAATGTGCTGTAAGTTATTCATTTACAGATGTATATTTGGGGTTTGATACTGCTTTCTCATTTTATAACAAAAGAGACAGTAACCAAAAGGTAAAGAATCAGGAAGTAGACAGGTGATAATGTACTAACTATTGAACAATTTGACAAGAATTCTTTTTTTTTCTTTTTGTTGAGACGGAGTTTGGCTCTTGTTACCCAGGCTGGAGTGCAATGGCGCGATCTCGGCTCACCGCAACCTCTGCCTCCTGGGATTACGCAATTCTCCTGCCTCAGCCTTCTGCGTAGCTGAAACTACAGGCACGTGCCACCATGCCCAGCTAATTTTTTGTATTTTTAGTAGAGACGGGGTTTCACCATGTTGACCAGATGGTCTTGATCTCTTGACCTCATGATCCACCCGCCTTGGCCTCCCAAAGTGCTGGGATTACAGGCTTGAGCCACCGCGCAATCAAGATCACGACTCACTGCAACCTCAAACTCCTGTGCTCAAATGATCCTCCCACCTCAGCCTCCTGAGTAGCCGGTACTACAGGCATGCACCACCATGCCCTGCTAATTTTTTTTTCTAGAGATAGGATCTTACTCTTTTGCCCAGGCTGGTCTCAAACTCCTGGCCTCATGTGATCCTCCTATCTTGGCTTCGCAAGTGTTGGGATTACAGGCATGAGGCACTGCACCAAGCCTCCCCTGTCAATTTCCAATAAGAAGAGAGCACTTCCATTTTTTATATTTGGAGACTTCAAGCAAAGTCTGTCCAAACTATACAGCAAAAGAGGCCACAGAATACAGAAAAGGCTGTGAGTCAAATTAAGACTTGAAAATTAGGAGGTTTTTTTTTTTTTTAAAGAGAGAAACAGAAGTTTCCTTGGTTTCAAAAGCATTTGAAATAATATTATCCATCCACATTTAGGCAAATACTTCTGGTTGAAAGGGCTTCATTCTTATTTCTTCAAGTGGTAGAGTTGCCATTTCATTCATATTTTCAGTGCGGTAGGTAGAAATGAGAACTATTAAGAGGCTGAGAAAATAAGAGTAGGAGAACATTTTAGCGGTTTGCATGACAAGACAGGGATATAAGGAAATGCTGGCCAGCTGGCTATCTGATATGCAATTTCTGGGCTCATTATAAGTCATCTCCTGTTTAATATGGTCTTTTCATTCTGCTGGATTTTTTTTTTCATATTTGACCACTGCTCCAGCAATCTCTGCAAATTACCCATCTCCATCTCATTATATTGTAAAGGAGGGCTTTCTTAGAGACACACTCTGTCTCAATCTTCATGCTACCATGAGCTGCAGGAACATAATGGGATGCACAGTTGAAAGACATTTCCAGGAGGGAGAATGTTGCTGCTGACATTCAAGTCTGCAAGTAGATATTCATTAAACACTCATTCGCCTCTTCTCACTTCCCCCCACTTGCCTTTCCTTCCATCTCTGTCACTAAGCCATCATCGAAGCTACTCATTACACTCATAAAGTTAACATTTTTGTTTTAACAGCATACTTATAACAAGGGATTTCAAAATTGATTATCCATCTAAAATAGATGTGCTCCATTTACTATAAATCCACACAGAGAAGCCATGGCTACTATTACAGCTCCCTGAGTACAGACAGGACACATGTGTACTCCACCCCGAGGTGGGGATGCGTGTTCTAACCCTAGGGCTAATTTAAATGGAATATGTTTAAATTCTTCCAAAGCGCCAATTGTGCCTGACATCCCTGACCACCCACCTTCACGTTATGCTTTTCTCTCTTGGGAGTAAAAGGGAGAAGGATCATGCCAGGAATCATATGAACAAGTCAGTTTCTTGCAAAGGTCACAAAACAAGCTCACTCACAGATCTTCCAGTAGTGATTTAAAAACCTGAAATCTTAATCCAAAGAAAGCTGCCTTGGAGATAAGATTACTAATAGCTGACATAAACACACACACACACACATATATACACACAAACCCTACCAAAAAAAAACCCCACAAAATATATTTGAATGAGAAATGAGCATATAGCTGGTGGAAGAAATCAAGTAAACGTGGAACAACAACTTGA